TCCCTGGAACAGCTCTGCTTCACCTTCTCATGCAGCTTTGCAATACACCCAAATTGCATCTCCAGAGCTGTCGTAGAACAATTCCAGACAAACACCAGCAACAGTCAAGGCATGGGAAAGCATCCAGCAGTGAATGGATGAGTGTTAAATATCTTGCTCTCAAGTTAAATAAAAGGAAATAGAATCCAGTTTTACAGAGATATCTATTCCTTTTTATTCCAAGCCTTCCACACAGGCTCTTTTCTGAAGCCCCTTTTCACCAATTCACAACATACTGCAGTACTGGAAATAATATCCTATATGCAATACATAACGTTACTCTTGTTCAAGTTCTGTACCTAGGAGGGCTAAGAAACTCTAGATCATTTCTGCCACAAGAAGCAGCTCCTGTCACCCTTTCCTACCCCATGCCTAGTGGAAATGTGGGGCACCAGCATTTCCAAACAGCCATGCTTCCACATAGGGGATTAATGGTAAATCCATATCCCCTGTCAGAGATATTCTCTCTCTTTTTTTTTTTTTTCCTTGCAAAGATAATCTTGAAAGCATAAGCAATGTACCACCTCTGCTGGAGGGAGCCATGTGTTCATTTCTATGGCAAAGAGCACCATGCGTACATGCTCTTCTCCAGCCAGCCTTTGCATCCCCCATGATCTCAGTTCCTTCACTCTCTGCTGGGGTGTGGATCAGCTGTCCTGAGCCAAGGCTTCCCCTCGGCTGTCACTGGCTGCACAGACCTGTCACATCACAGCTTGCTGGCCAGCCTGCGAGCTGAGTCACTCCACTGATAAGCTGACCACGTAGCTTTGCAAGTGTAGGACTTGCTCAGTGTGAAAGGCAACGTTATCGAACAACTCAGTCCAACACAAACAGAAGTATGTGGGTGACATGAAGCACGTGAGTATTTTTGCTAGCTGCCACCGGGCTATTTACGTCCTTCAGGGTATCACAAGTTTAACTGCTTTGCTTAATCACAGCTAGAGCAGATACTTGAGAACAAGAAATCTTTGGCTCAGTCCACCGAAAGTCTTAGGGCTGCTTGGACAGCTGTGTTCCCAGCTTTAAATGATCTATTAAAAGTCTACATTGCCTCTTATTGTTGCCTTAATTCTTTACAAGCAGTGCCTCCCCAGGCCTCATAACTCAAATGGTGTATCTCAATGTGGCTTTGTCTGAAGGAGAAGAGCCATGCTACATATCCCGCTGGACTAATCACCGACCCTATTGCTGCTTGCAGTATCAGGGGAATGGAATGGATTGTCCCAGGCCAACCTTTTCCATTCATTGTTCCTCACAGCTGAGTGCTAGGTGCAGGCACACACCTGTAAGAGGTAGTTCAGCAGCACCTCTGCCTCCAAACCATCTCTCTGCCTGCAGATGTGTTGCTCTGCTGCTTCTCATGCCCCTCCTCTCAGTTCTGCACACCCATCTTGGGACTGGGAAGGTTGGGTTGATGGTTGGACTTGGTGATCTTAAAGGTCTTTTCCAACCTAGATGATTCTATGACTTTATCTATGATCAGCACTCTGGAGGACAGTGGGGACAATTTGTTCTTCCCTCAAGACCTCTAATGCAACTGGTCAGATCCATTAGGGTAAAACAGATCACACCTGGCACAGCCTGCATGTCAGTGTCCTAACAGTGACCAAGCATGGATGGAGAGGGTATGGCTACAGGGAAATGTAAAGTACACCCAACAGGAAGGTGAGCCAAAGGTCAGATAGGCTTTGAAGCTCACCAAACCTCATGAATGGAGCTCGTCTACAGCGCAAACCTGATGTTTGTGTTGAGATGCCTTGTCTAGCAGCAGCTCAGGGTGGTAAATCAAAAAGTTTTATCACAGCCTGTACTGAACAGTTCAGGCTTCAATGAAACACATATATAAACCAGGTGCTGAGTGTAAGCTGGAAAGCTGGCTCTTATCAGGTGGGATGGAAGGGCTGGCCAGCATGGCTGCATGATGTCCAGGCTGTGTGGGACCCCTTGCTGCCAGTTCAGCTCCCACCTCTGCCCCCGGGTGAGGGTGGGCAGAGCTAACAGGGTCTGTCTGCATCCTCCACAGTAAGGACACAAAGAGGATAATAGACTGGGCCTGTGAACGAAGCGTGTCCCATAAGTACCACCCAGGCACTGCAGGGAATGAGACAGCTTTTCCCTATTACACCGAGAGAGGAAATTCAGCGGTGGCACAAGGCTCTCCTCTAAGCACTCAAGACTCTTAGTCAGACCCATTTGGCCTGCACTACAGCACAGAGAAATAAAAGCAGCTAGGGGAATAGAAGTGCCCTAGGACCACTGTAAATCTTTACTTCATGGAAAATCTTATCTTGTGCATGAATATGAGCTGTGAGTAAATTTAATGTGTGGATTAAGTACTGTGCGGTCTCCCTCATGGTGGGCTTTTCAGCCGAAAAAGAACAAAAGAATAATAATGAGTGTTGTGTTTGGGTATGATTACAAACATCTGTAATTTACAGCTGGACATTCCCCATTGCAAATGTATCCAGCAAGCAAGTGCTCTGGGTTGGCGTAATAGCCTGCAAAAAATTAGCTTTTAACTTCAGTCCTGAGGTCAGAGTGCTGGGACCAGGGGAGTCAATAATAAAATCTATTTAGCTCAGTGGGATTAAGCAGGTTTAAGACCTGGCTTAACCACACTGCTCACTGTTAAATAATAGCAGAACGCACTGAGTATTTTAGGTACAGACATTTTTCTTAATTTGAAAGCTATTCAGGCAGTGGATTCGAGAGTCATGCCATTGAAGATATGCTAGCACTATACCATTAAGGTATATGAGTTAAATGTTTGTACTTCTCTGTCCCAGAAATTGAGCAATCTTTATAGTTAGACCACTTTACTGAAAAGCATAATAAAATTAAAATGAAGCTGTGCTGTATAAACACCGAAGGTTTTCCATGAGAGAATGAAAAGTGAATGGGGCCAGTGCATCTTTCCTGACAAAACAGTCAGTGCATGTGCAGAGCAACCTGTCTTCTGGAAGCAGAAAAGCTGTTTCAGTCGAGCTTCTGGGTCACTAATCTTTGTGTTTGCACATAAATCTGCTGGGGGTTACTGTGGCAGTCTGAAAACAAGACTGAGTGCAGCACACTGGAGAAATCAATGGCTACAGGTTTAAAAACTCCCCCTTTTTTTGCCTCTTTCAGTTTAGCTAACTGTTAGCTTTTTAACAAAACCTGAAAGCAAAAACTGAAACGAGAGCTACTGGAGAATAAATTTTAAGAAAGAATGGTGGGTGAAATTGCCGAGAGCTTGATTTAACCTGCCACCCCACCTCCCTTGGTGCTGGGACGTGCTGGTGTGTGGCCAGGCACTCGTTGCTGCTCCTGGGACACAAGCACTGAGCAACAATATCACAGGAGCTCTCCCTTTAGCCAAGGCTAGGCAGAACCTTTACAGTTTCATTTTTGGGCCCCTGCTCGATGCAGAGAGGTTCCTCACCCCCAGTGGGGCTGGGACCATCTCTGCACCGTCACCACTGCTCTTCCTAGGGGAGACAGAGCAGGGTTTGGGGCTTGCTGACTGCTTCCAGGGGCAGTTCTGTGGGAGTGCTCCTTGCTCAGCCCAGGGGAAGGATGCTGAGAAATGCCTCCCCACACTGTCACAGCATCGTCCCACCAGGTGTGAAAGCTGCTTGGCCTGGTGGCTGAGCTTGCACACCTCCAGGGAGATGGACACGATGCTGCCCTGACTCCTCTTTCTTTTTGCATTCATCCCCATTACAGCCAATACTCATGTACTCTACAACCGAGCCAGTGATTTCACCCGCATCCCATATGTTTCAGTCTGGATTTTTTTTTCTTTAAGGGGGGTAAAAGAAATCCTAAACAAAATGGTGTTTGTAAACTGGGCAGAGGTGGGGGGGGGAAGGTTGATAATTTTGGCAGTCTTAGCCTCAGACCAGAGAGAAATGTTATTCATCCGTGCACAAGATATAATTCAGCCTAAGTGACAGGCTCTGCTCTGGAGAAATCCTGGCCTGAGCTGGCTTCGAGAGTCAATTACTGCTTATTCCCAGGGAGGCGGGGGGCGGGGGGCCAGGCGGAGCGCAGGGGGCTGCCAGCAAGGCAGGGGGAAATTTACTCTGTGTCAGCCCGCATGACACAGTACCTCATTTGTGGATAAATGTAAATCTGCTGGTTCTTTTTCACAGGCACTAAAACGTACAGTCTCTCCTTCCCCTTCCCTCCCCCCTCTTCCCAAAACTGGAAAAGAAATCAGGACCGTCTTAGAAAGCTACCTTATATTTCAATCAATCCTCTTTCATAAAAGTCATTTAAGGTAAATACCTGTGCAGATTACGGCCCAACTATAACATTTACTATGGCCCGAATCCTGAATTCCTCGCTCAGGCCAGTTTCCCATTGAAGTTGATGGAAATTCGCTTGAAAAAGAGCTGAGTAAAACCTGAAAGCTGGCTAAGGATTTGGTCCCTTTCTTATCTGCCTGAGGCACTGCTGCAGTTCCAGAAGTAAAAAAAAAAAGAAGAATTAAATTCTTCTAAAATACTGATCCCTCAAAACTTAAGGGGTAAAAAAAGGCATTGTTTTTGTGCCTGAAATGTACGGAGTATCTCATCACAAGAGGAGCAATTCCCAGGGAAAGAATTTGGAAAAAGTCAAAAGAGAACATCTCAAAATAAATGAAGTACTTATTGCTGAAAAATGAGCTTAGATATATCTCAGCAAACTCTAAAGCTGAGAATTTACTGCATCATTCATGCCTTCTCCAGTAAGTTTCTTATCTCTCGTTTGGTATCACAACAAGGGATTCTGCATACTCTGTATGAAATACAACAAGACTGTGATTTTTGCAGTAATAAACTCTACACATGCATGACAAATCCAAGCATGCAAAATGTTTAACATCCCAGTTCGCAGATACTTTGGGGACAAAATCCGATTATGAGTTATATGCCACAATAAATAGGGCTCAACGTTTCATAAAGCAATTTATAGTTCATAAAAATGACAAAATGTACCTGTCAGACAGAACGCGGAGAGCAGATCTCTGTGCTGCCTGCTGGAAGAAAGGGCAGAGATGTTTATTTTATATTCTGACTTTAAAATTACGAGTACAATCAACACTTTAAAAAATGCGTTACACACATTTTTGTCACGTGTCCAAATTTTAAAGTACTAGCAAAGTAGCAGAGAGTCTACAGCAAAATGGACATTCCAGCCTGGTAAATGTAAGAACACTTTGTTAAGTACGCCATAAACCAGGAGATTGTCAAAGCACAGCGCAGTATTTGAGGTCTGAACTGCTCTATTTAGACGGTTTTCTGCAGGTCTCTGAAAACTCTGCAGGGCTCAGCTCTCTTCCTTCCCCTCTCCCCGCTTCCGCACTCCCACTCCCTCTCCTTTACCATCAGTCTCCTCCCATTCTTCCACAGAAACAAACATCACATATTTGGTTCCTTGTGCGACGAAGCCTGTAGCTATAATTATAGATTTTGCAAAGCTTGCCAGAGCTGCCGCAGACTTTTCATGAGCGCTGCCATGTTAATCTGCTGGCAACTCTGGGCTACGCAGCACAGGATTGACCTGTTGCTGGTTTGCTCCTCAGTTTTTGCCTAGCACAACTCTTTTGGATGGGGTGGGGAGGCATGGTGCTCGTTCTTGTGTTAGCCAGCAGTCCTGGGAATAGAAATCGTAGCCTCTCAAGTTTAATAGGACTCCCAAGCCTATCCCTGAGCTGGTTTGCCACTTTATTATTATTATTCTTTCCCCTCCTTGAATCACTTCAAGCAGGGTGATTCATGACTTCAGCACAGTAACTAGCTGCTAAGCAAAGATGAAATCCATAATGTTCTGAAAATCTACTTTAAAGCCCCAATTCTGCTTGTGGCTGCCCGGAGTGGCTCCTTCCCACTCATCCCTGTCCGGGCTGTGCCTCGCCTGGCGCAGAAGGGACACAAAGCCACGCAGCACAGACGGTCAAGGGGCAGAAAATTAAGTGTAGGTTTTCTCTTTGCAGCCACTGGCAAGCATATTTCGCAAACGATATCTCTGGCTCTTCAGGCTGCAGGGGGCTGCATCCCCATCCCTGAACATGCATCCCGGCATCCTGGTCAGCACCAGAGAGCATGAAAGCAGCCCTCCTGGCTAGGCTGCACAGAAACACTGGATAAAACCTCACTTGCAGTTGTGTTGACTGGAGCATTTCACAGACAGGGGTAAAAAGATCCCCTGAATGGATCTGTGCAGATCTGACAGTAGTGCAGAAGTGCTTTGGGAAGGGTGTCCGCATGATTTTGGAAGCAGGCACTTTCAGGAAGTTTTCAAAGGGAGGAGTGGTTTGCTGCGTATCCCATGCTGGGTTGTCAGGAGATAAGGGCTGTGCCACATCCCCTGCTGGCAGGAGGGTTTTCCCTTCTCTTTCACTTTCTGTGGTGGGCAGAGAGCCCACAGGAAGAGCTGGAAAGGTCCCACCAGCTCAGTGGGAATGTGCCCATGGCACGAACCTGCTGGTTTTAGTGTTATTTCCTAATAATATGGAGCTTGGACTTCTGTTGTCTCTGATAGCTCATTCTACTGGCATGCTCTTTGGGTACAACCCTGTCTGGGTCCACCAGGACACTGGGTACAGGACAGGTTTTAAGCAGAGCACCTGCCCTCCATTTCAGTAGGCTGGCACCTCGTTTGTTCTCACCTTTGAGGGGGGCTTGCTATGATAATTTCACCCCACTTCTTGCACAAAAACACAGGAGAGACCCAAACCTTGGGTTTAAGAATGTCTTGTGACTTTATTTCTTCTTAAATGACCCAGACCAATGTGAACCCACCTCCTCCCATGCCTAATTACCCTCACTAGCAGGAATCTTTGGCCATCGTGACTCAAATTGCCCATCTCCCAGTGCTGACCTCTACACTATTATGCTTTTGTCTGCAAAGCTCTGGAGCTTCCTTGCACTATCAGAGCCCTTCCCCATGCCCAAGTAATATAGACATCATGCAAATCACCACTCCTTCTTCTCTCACGTCTTTCCTTTGCAGGCAGCCACTATGTGGCAGTGCTGTTTAAGCCACTTTTAATGTTTCCCAGTCTTGGCTTAGACCACCACAGGTGGTTGTGCAATGAAACAGGTTAGAAAACTGATCCAGCTGGAAATTAACACTCTTCCTTTATCTGTCTATCTACCTAATCTATCTAATCTATCTATCTATCTATCTATCTATCTATCTATCTATCTATCTATCTATCTATCTATCTATGTATCTATCTATCTATCTATCTATCTATTTTGCCAGGTCATTTGTAAGCTGCATGCCTTTTCTGAGCTGCCCCCCAGGGGGAGGGAGGCAGTGCAGGGTGTGGTGTGAGAATGGGGACAGGACTGAGGGGGCAGCAAGAAAAAGGCAGGTCTGCTAGTGAGTTCATTTTCACCTGATGTCTCTCTTAATTCTTTCTGGGGAGATGCAGAGCTCGACCTGAGCAAGGTTTGTGGTGGCTGTGGGAGCCAGAAAGAGACCGCTGCTCTGTAGCCACAGTCCTCAGGGTCTTTGCAGAGACCTCAAAAAAACACACATGGACTTTGATGACCCTAAAAGCTCCCTGACATGGGGGCGTGGAGTGCCTACCACCCTTGTATTTCCCGAAAATCCCTAATTTTGAGAGAGGGAGAAGAACTGTGTACTTTCTCCTCCAGTCTAGTTGAAAGCAGCCCTTAGGAGGGAAAAGGAGAGGATTTGTCTCGATCCGATCGGGGTGCTAAACTGAGCCAGGCCATGTGGGGCTGGACTGCAGCCTCAAGTGCCAATCTTCAGTTTCCAACTTGGTACATCCAGCTGCTGACAGCCTTGAAAAGGTGATCCTTTCTGGGCCAGCAAGTGGGTTCAGATGAAAGCCAGGGCAGCAGGGAGAAACGTACAAGTATTTTTCAGTGACATCATTCCACTTTTTCAATTAGCTTCTCATATTAAGTCCTTTAATAAGCATCTTTCTTCACCAGGATGCAATGCAGGTTGCAACTCACTCCTTGCCTGGAGGTGGCATGTTCTACAGATGAGACTACTGATTTCTTGCTCACACTGTTTGAAAATACAGCAATGTCTGGCTGCATATCTGTGTGACCCTTTGAATTGATCATGGCTCCATTTCTGAGTGATGGGGGAATGCAATTCAGTTGCAAGTTTACCCTTCCTCCCTGGAGAAGCAGATCTATTACCTGCAATGAAAGGCAGTTAGCAACTGTCTGGCAATTTTAATTCTAGCCTATATTGCTCCCCTCTCCTGGAGAAAGTGAACTGTTGTAATTAAAGGTAGTTAGCAGTTCTCTAGCAAGTATAAATACTTGTGGCCACTAATTACAGTCTGCTCTCTTGTTCCCCTGCTACAGGACTTGGCTGCTCAGCTTAGGGAGAAATATCTGCCCTTGGTTCTTGCTAACAATTTTATTGTGACCCCATTTAAGCTTGTTCATGAATCCCCATGGAGGGTCATGACCCATAGAAAAACTCTCGTTATAGAAATGGCTTTCTCTGATTTATTATGTTTCTAATACGCTGGCATTATCTTTGTAACAATGTAAGCAAAAGGGTGGTACTTAGTATCGTGTCCTGCCTGCACTGCTATTTTTGAATAGCTTCCCTTTGATTGTGATATTTAATTTGCATTTTATTTTACATCATTAACAACGTTACTGAGGCCAGCTCACCATCCATCAAGAAAGAAAATGAGAATATGCTATGCATTCTTTATTATTCCTGGAAGTAAGTGACTACGCTGGCTACAGAAATTAGGGATAAGAAATAATTTTCAAAGTTCAATGCTGCTGACAGAATTTAAAGATCTCCAAGAATTACCACTAAAAGGTGCTCTTGATAAGTGATTCTCCTGATAAGTGATTGTGCTAGACTCTGATGTGTTCATCAGTAATGAGTATAATCCTAAAATTTCAGTTCCTGGAATCAGTGGGCTTACTCATGGAGGGAGGGTCTCCCCAGTATGAACAAGGATATTGGAGGCCAACCCACAACATAATAGCTTTAACTCTGAGTAGGAAGCAGGGGAGGGAAAAAAAAATAAATAAAAATCACTTAGGTGGCTCAGGTACTTGGGCTTGAGAAAGTAGCCACAGTACATTTGATGGATTACTCTGTTTCACTACATCAAGAGTTGTAAATTACAGGATACCGGCTGGTTAGACTTCTTTGTCCCACACCTGAATTGGTTATAGATACATTTAGGGCAGAGTTTCATTGATCTGCCTATAGTTCATTAATCATTCATGAAAGATCCGCGCTGTACCCTAAGACTACTGAGACAAAGCAAGTTTTCAGGCAGCAGTAATCATGTTCAGGTTCTCAATCTCCAGAGATTGCATGTCCTCTCTCCATCTTTTATTGCAGTGAGCCGGAGCTTGGGAACATAATCAGCAGATATTCAGGTTTCAGTGTGTGTGTTAAATGAGCTACCAAAATTACTCCAAGTGTCACAAGTTGCAAGCTGTTGTTGAAGAGAAATCAAAGAGGAAGTTAAATACTTTCATAGTAATTGGGGCTGAGCAGCTAGCTAGTGCATTGTAATTGGGATTGAGCAGTGAACAGAATGGGTTGAATACACAGCTTGAGCTGGTGATCCAGGAGTGTTAAGAGTGGTCTCCAGATTTTATTATTTTATTTTATTTTATTTTATTTTATTTTATTTTATTTTATTTTATTTTATTTTATTTTATTTTATTTTATTTTATTTTATTTTATTTTATTTTATTTTTTTATTTCTAAAATTAGTTGGAACAGAATTCATAAACTGCTGGGTTTACAGTCCTTTTTGGAAAAAAAGCAAATGAGAACTAATGAAGAATGTTCTGCTGGTCTTGGAAGAGTGTCTTGGATACATTTTCTTTCACATTGCCCAGGGCATGATTTGGCAAATAAAAGCCAATAAACTGACCAATGGCAAACTCAGACATTTTGTCTTCTATTTTTTCTTGTCCTGTGGAGTAATCACTGTTATAACGAGAGGGCTCAGTTATGGCAGCTGTGTGAGAAAGATGAAATTCTGTATTCTGCCTTTTG